GGTATGCATACTCCACCAATTAAGTTCTTTCAAACGACACCAAGGTCAATGACCTTGTGACCTTGACTGTGACCAATATGCTAAAAATAGATTTTTCGAACTTTGTTGCCGCCGGGCGCATAGTGTTTCACAGACACATCTTGTTTCTCAAATAATTAAGATTTGTATATTTTTGTTCACTTTCCGTTCCTCTATTCATGATGTACATGTAGTCAACAGACATAACACAATATCTTATTAAACCATCACTAATATAAGCCCATAAATCGTGAAATTGCCCTGCTTTTATTATCAATATTGTTTTCAATGTATTCATTTTATAATCCTAAAGCGTCAACCTCCGCTGAATATTAGTTACTTATTAGCATTATTGACTGATGTGGTGAGATCCTGTTACCTGGCGATCGTGTTACCTAGCACGTGCACCTCGTGCGGGGTCCACCTTCCGTACCTGCGACAGGTGAACTAAACTAACAAGTCCGTCGTAACAGCTGACTTTCTCTGTACACGTGTCACCAGTTAAAACTTTTATATTATTTTTTCTTACTTAAAAGGATTGGATATATGTAATAGCATCCAGACTTAAATGTGAGTAATTTTAACCTAAAACCAATTTTTTTTACAACATCTTTCATTTCTTATTATAAATTATGCGAGAGAAAATATTCTTTATGTATACGGTTGTGTCCCATATTTTATCAATTTTTCCTACCAGGAATTGTGGTTAGATTTGTGCCCCCCCTCTCCCTCAATTGATAAATTGCTATATGTACCTGTTTTCCCGGGTATATTGAATATTTTACATAAAGTATAAATACATAGACCTAAAGCAATTTAGGTCTATGGTATAAAATAGGGGGTGAAGTCACAATGTACAAAGTTTTTACAAGTTTTTATTAATTTTACATTCTTAACGAAATTCCTGGACCAAAAAAATAAAAAAATATATACTTCCCTGGTTTTAGAATTAATTGTTTAAATCTAAAAATAAGCGAAATAATTAGTGATGTCTTATTATTTGTATGCCTGTAGCTACATGTAAGTCAGTTAATAATACACATCAAATTAAGTCATTCACCTTCAAAAATCATATATTTGTGACACTTAAAAAGCCATATATAAGATTCATAACTAGAGAGTTAATATTTCAGTTTCTTCTAAAGACCAACTTATCTGTATTTTCAAAAGGTTTCCGAAATAAATAGGAGGTCGTATGAGCGGTTCAAAGGTTAAATATTATTTGGAAGTTTCCAGGTAAGTACATGAAGAAAATACTACTGAGTTCTTTCGTTATTTTTCCTTTTAATCCAAACGATTCTTGTGTATTAACTTCATCCTAAAATTGTTTTCGGGTTTGTTTTTTTTTTTTTATATACAATTTTAACTATATGAATAGTAGAAAAACTAGCGTACTGTATGAAACAAGCGCCAGTGATGGAAATAAGATTATCATTTATCAATGTACCAATCTGAAATATACTTTTATTCGGTACTATGTATGTTTTATTAGAATATTAGGCACAGGCCACGCTGCAACAAAAAAAAATGAAAAGGAGGCAAAAGGCCTAGTCTCTCGTTGAATATTGTGAAAGCACTAATTTTCGGGGGGGGGGGTCTTTCGAGGTATGGGAGACCCACAATCGAATTCATGTCCACCACTAGCTGTTATAGTTATTATGCTCTCCACTTTTCCATCCACGAAATCAAATCTAAACATATAAATATTTTTTTCTCAAACCGTGAAAATTTTTAAATATGTTATTTTACAGAAGCCGCGAAAAAAAGGGGGTGGGGTTCTGATCTACGTGCTTGCATACGAGGTATAGTTATCTGTGCCAATATCATTTATCATTGAAGGTACGTACACAATGTACATGTAACACATGTTACTGATCAAACACTGTAATGTTTATTGTGTATTTTATTAAACACCAGAACTTTAAAAAATTAAATCAATGACATTTTTTTTTTCACAAATTCATCTACCAACAGCTGATCCCAGTTGTGCAATAATGTCTAGAAATTTAAATGCAATTATTTGAAAATAATGAAATGTTGTTTTCGTTGTTTTTTTAAAATTGTATTTAATTTTTGTCTTTTTTTTTTTCTTTTTGTACTTAGGCTGTTATGAAAACTGAAACAAGCCAGACGAGCAGGAAGACACGGAAACTTGGAAGATTTGTAAAGTTGTTTCGTAGATTTTTCAGAAACTCTAAGAGAGGTACTTACAATATTTTACAATATTTTATAACATGTACCTGATTAGTGGAGTATGCATACTAAATATGAAGTCTCTATCTCTAATGATTCAAAAGTTATGGTGAAGGTACGAAAAAGCTATTTTTAGCATATGGGTCACAGTCAAGGACACAGAATCATTGACCTTGGTGTGATTTAAAGAAGTAAATTAGTGGTTTATGCATATCAAATATGAAGTATCTATATATCTCTCATGGTTTAGAAGTCATGGCAAAGGTACGAAAAAAAGCTATTTTTAGCATATTAGTGTAGTATGCATACCAAATATGAAGTCTCTATCTTTCAAGGTGTAAAAGTTATGACGAAGGTTAAAGTTTGCAGACAAAGACGCTATTTTTAGCATATTGTTACAGTCAAGGTCACAAGGTCAATGGCCTTGGTATTATTTGAAAGAGTTTAATTAGTGGAGTAAGCATACTAAATATGAGGTCTCTATCTTTCATGATTCAAAAGTTATGACGAATTAAGGTTAATGTTTGCAGACAAACAAACAAACAGACAGGACAAGACAATATAAACCCCGGATCTATCGATCCGGGTGCACAAAAATAAATAAATAACATGTTATAAAGCCATACCTTTGATTGACCTTTGACCTCGATTCAAGAACCTGTAAACAACATTTTTATGTGAGGTTTTCCAAATTTTTCTTACGAAATATTTGTTTTCTCATAATTTATTAACATTTTAATGATTTTATAAATAATCTAGATCATGTATATGATTTCTTGCCTTTCTAATGTTTACTAGCTGTGTATAACTAAGTAATAATACTCGCTATTCTTCCTGTAACCTTGACCTATTGTGTAAATGGTAGAGCGATCTATCAAGTAAACTGAGGGTCCATCACAGGTGAATGATGGAGGTATCACAAATTCAAACCTACCTGATATATTTACAGCGGATCACCGTCCTATCGCTTACATACACTGAGAAGAACTGGCAGAATTATATCTTTCATGCTGTTTGTTTGGTCTCTCACACTAAGACTGGTGGGGTTCACATTTTCTGGCGTATCTTGGTCAGGTCACTCGTGTATAGATGGGCGGGCTGATATTTTCAAACATGATCATATCGTGCCACTCACTTCCAGATGAGAAAGGTTGAATTTTTCAAGCTTGACATTGTCATTTCATTCAAACCTTGGTGGGCGGTGTTTCTGTTTTCAGGCGTAACATTCTCTTGTCAGGTCATCAGACCTTTTTATTGAGGGGCACATGTCACTGTCTTATTCTTAACATTAAAATGGCGAGGTTTATATTTTTAGGCGTGTCTTTGTGTTGTCACTCACATTAAGATGGGTGGGATTTATATTTTCAGGCGTGTCTTTTTCTTGTCATTCACACTAAGATGGGCGAGGTTTATTTTTTCAGGCGTGTCTTTGTTCCGTCAATAACACTGTGATGGGCAGGGTTTTTTGTTTTATTGCTTGATTTGTCTTGTCATTCACACTAAAATGGGCGTGATTTAAATTTTAAGTAAGTCTTTGTCTTGTCGCTAAAATATGGGTGGGTTTATATTTGTAGGCGTGTCTTTATCTTGTTACTTACACTAAGATGGGCGGGGATTTATATATTAATTAGGCGTGTCTTTGTACATGTCTTGTCACTTACACTAAGGTGGGCGTTGTTTATACTTGTAGGCGTGTCTTTGTCCTGTCACTCACCCCCGGCGGAGGAAGATGGGTGGCTGTACGACAGAGTCTCTAGAACTCTGGTCTGGATGGGATAGAAATCATCCATTTAGGTAAGAAAGAAATTTGCATACCTAGAAAACTGTGATGTGCTTAATCTGTAAAATATAAAAATATGTAATGTAAAGAATAAATTAACAAGTTTATTTAAAGAATATTCACCATTTTACCAGAAACACAGCACCACCCGGTAGCAGAGCACGTATTAGTTTCTCAGAGGATTAAACTTATTATTTTGAAACTCGTATATCATGTAATATTTGTAATAATTATATTTTCCAACCTTATCTGAGCTTTTGTCTGAAACAAAATACATGTTTTAAGATAATGAACAGTGAATACAAGGCGGTAGCAGAGCAAACATGGGCCTTTAAGAACTTCCGAAAGGGGATTAGATTGCCATGATGGAGTAACCATCCCCGGTCGACCGGTCTTAAGCATGCAAATCGCTTGGTTAAAAATGCCATATTAAATGACATCCTAATTTTGATGTTAAATTCAAATCTTCTTTTTTAGATGAAGCATAAAATCAAAATTTCAACTGTAGTTAAATACAAAACTTCCCTAGGCCTCTGTATTCAAAATGTTGCAGTCTCACCAACATTATGTTTCCTAGAATTCTAGTTTATGAACAGTTTGACATAATATTTATGATTATAATTGAAATAATGTCATTAGTGAAACGAAAAATGACCGTAATTACTCATGTGTGAGCATTCTAATTGATTGTATCACTGTTTTAAAATGACCAGTATCATATATCACGCAACAGATGTTTAATTGTAATGCAATAAAATATTGGACGTGCTGAAATTAATTCATTTGTGTATTGGTGATTTGTTGGTAAGTACTAAAGTAAATTTTGCATATACTTCTCCTCCATGCTGATATGTTTTTACAATCGATTACAGTTGATGAATTTCTATTTGTAAAAGAAAAAAAGACAGACATAAAATATTTTAAACTGGGAGAGTCAAGATACACGTTTTCTTCTCTTTTTCAGATGTGTGAATTTTCTTGAATTTAATTTTACATTGGCTGGATCAAGGTCACGTGATGAAACCAATTTTTCTTCTTCTTCTCCTCGTTATCAGCCTTTATCATGACGTCAAAGCTATAAAACAAGGTAAGAACACCCACTTCCCCCTTTTTTCATTTGTTTAGATAATGACTTTGTTAAATATTAAATCATGAAACCTTGAAAAAAAATCTATTTTGTTTCATTACATATTTCGTGCTCAAAATTCCTTAATAAAACTCACTTCTTCGAGATATTCATATTCGAGATAAAAAGTTCTACTGTATCAAAAAAAACCCCACATTATTTTATGTTCAGAAGTGCTATTGAGTTATTGATGTATGCAAATCAGATACGCAAGCTCCCGCTCCAGCTCACGGGCAAAAATATTTACTGTATACAGCGAAATACGGAAGCCCGTTGAGGCCAGTTCAGAGAGAGAAATATTTTTTATTGCGTTTAATCGCAATAATTTTTTGCGTTTAATTGCAATTATTATTTGCATTTATACACAGTAATTTTGCATTAAAATGCAATACTCTTTGCATTTTATCGCAATAATACTTTTTAAGGATCATTTTGCATTTAACCACAATGATTCAGTGCTGTAGATTGAAATCAAACATCGGCTAGCCAAAAATTATTATGAATACAATGGTCTGATTCTTTTAAGAAGAACCGTTTGGTTCTGTGTATTTTTGCAAAATGTTGCAGTGTGTGAGATCTGAAGTTTAACAATTGCATCTTAGGTAAACAGCCAGAGTTTCTTAAACCTATTAGAATCCAACACTTTAAAAGCAGCCATTAATCAATTCCTTAGGTATCACAGCAAATTAAGAATGTTTCAGTGGTATCAATGGCCATATCAGTTTGGTAGTACAAATCGATCAATCTGTTTTCATTTGATTTATTTTGATATCATATGATTCCATCTCCTAAATTTTCGTGTTCTCGTATTTACTATATGTGATCAAAGGAAAGATGAATATACAGGAATATAGACATCTATACATGCTAAAGCTATGTTTCATTCTAAGGTTGTCTTTGTTTTTACAGACCGACACTTCTTTCATCTCTTTAAATCCATACCAATGATTTAATCATTCAGAAAATGCTTGTTCAGAAGAATCTGAATCTATTATATGCTTAACAATACACAATTCTCCACATAGGTTAAAGTACAAAAGAAAAAAGAAACGAATATCAGCGCGGAACCATTGCACTCTTCAAAAATCAATAGAAATGATTGCTTTTAAATACAAAGATTATTGCATTTAAATTGCGATTGCGTTTAATCGCAAAAGTATTGCGTTTCAACGCAAACATTATTGCGATTAAACGCAATAATTATTGCGATTAAACGCAAAAATTATTGCGATTAAACGCAAAAATATTATTGCCATTAAACGCAATAATTATTGCGTTTAATCGCAATCTTTTGCGATTAAACGCGAAGGTTTGCGATTAAACGCAATAATTATTGCGTTTAAACGCAATAAAAAATATTTCTCTCTCTGAACTGGCCTCAACGGGCTTCCGTAGCGGAATATTCGACCCCGTTTTATTTTTACTCCTTTCTCTATACCCTCATTAGGGCAAATTTCTAACGGGGCAAACTTGTTTTCAATCTGAAAGGACGAACTTATCCTCCTTTTAACTAACAGAGTATTAATTTAACTTACAGTTTGTTTTATTGACAGAGTGTTTCCTGCCGTCCTATGAGGGACAGTACATGAGTCTCCACATCTTCTGGTACTACAGCCCCACCCTGGGACGGTGCGTCAGGAGGACGTACGGCGGCCCCGCAGTCCCGGGACTTAACCACTTCGATTCCCTGGAAGACTGCCAACAGACCTGTATGGACTAAAAGTTAAACACTCTTCACCAATAGCACAGCACGAAAAAATGGACTTATTCAAATCTTTGAAAGCCAATGGTCGATATACCTAAAAAAAAACTGGACTTTTTTAAATACACCTTTGGAAACCCATGGGGGATATCTACCTATGTCGGTTTCATACATATAAAAAAATCTTATCTGTGGATTTATATTCAAAATTTAACATGTTTTAAACATATGAGGGTTTTGAGAAAGAGACTTCCAAAACTTTTGTTCCCCAAGCCATACATAACATTAGAAGATTTTTTTTCTTTTGGTTTTCATAATTTCTCTTTATCATGTCCAGAAATGAATCTTACATTTTGCATTTATATTTAAAATTATGAAACTCAATATATTTTTTTGCTAAATGAGAGTAAAACAAGATTTAATACATAAGTCTTTCGATAGTCTTACAAGTAGCTTGATATGCCTTGTATCTACAACACATTCGATTTTCATTAATAAATAGGGGAATTACTTAGTTTTCTTGCTCAAATTGAAAATTGACTTAATACTCTTCTTTTTTTTTTACCACAAAAAGGCAAAATGGGGTAGTTCATAAGAAACATATTAATCATTTAGAAAAATTATTCGTTAAGTTATAATTCAAACCTATGACTGCATTTTTGTAAATTGTAGAATGTATGTTTCCTTAACGTTCTGATCTTCTCTGTAATGATATGAATTTTCGAACTTATGTTGATTGATTGTATGTTTTTAACGTCCCTCTTGAGAATTTTTCACTCGCATTGAATGTCGCCACTTGCCGGTGGATAGATGCAAATTCTGTCCTTTACTCGGCAACACGCGGGAGACAACTACCCGGTAATTAAAGAAAAAAAAGAAATCTCTGATGAGACTGTAGCTCTACCGGTCTGTGCGTATTAAAAAGGAATAGTAGCACTTGAAGTTGAAATTTTGCAACAGGCTGCAATAAATAGAATTATGTATCTTAGTGTAGTCTAGTTTTTTGTCAAATTACTAGTGTAATTTGAAATTTGACCAAATTGTAGGAGGAGTCACGTTTTAAAGGAATATTACAGAATTTTCTTTCTTCGTACATGTAGTCATGACGACACCGTTCATTGGAATGAAAAGCACTACACTAAATTGTAACTCTTAGAATAGTATAGGCTACTTGTGTGTCAAGTTATATTAAAATCAGACCAAAATTGTAGGAGGAGTAGCGTTATAAAAGAATTTCACAGAAATTTCTATTTTTAGTATGGTTACATCATTCATCGAAATCAAAAACCGATTCACTAAATTATTATATTTCTTAGAGTTGTCGTCTTCTGTGCCCAGTTATATTGAAATCAGATCAAAATTGTAGGAGGAGTAGCGTTTTAAAGGAATTTTACAGAAATTTCTATTTTTAGTAACCATGTCTACACTGTTCATCGAAATCAAAAACCGATGCATGAAATTATGTATATATCTTAGTGTAGTTTACTTGTGTGTCAAGTTACATTAAAATCAACTTTAAGGTCAAGATCTAGTAAATGAAAGGTGCCTACAGATTTATCAAATTTGAGAAATAAATTCCATTATTGATGCTTTACAACTTTAGCTTGGTCAAATGAGGTGTTTCGGGGCATAATTTGTAGGTAAACAAGATTAAAAACTGTCTTTTAAACTGTCATTTTCAATGAAAAATTAAGAAAACCAGTCAGGAATATGGGAGTTTTTTTCATATTCGACAGAAGAAATGTATCCAGATTGCCTACAGTCTCTCAGGAAACGGAATTGAGTATGTTCGTGGCCTCTTCTTTAAATCAATATCAAATTTAATATAGGTATCCGGTTTATTTTTCATATGTTTTCAAATTGAATGTCATGAAAATACCATATATTCTAGTTAACTATGCTAAAGCCGTTAAGTACGGGAAAAAGAAAGTTGAAATTGATTATGAAGTCATAATGGATCTAGCACCAAAAAAAAAATGTTTATAGTTATTTACTAGATCTTGACCTTAAAGTGAAGCATTTGGAACAAAACTACTTTTTGATCGACGTTCTCGGAAAACTCAAGATGCATCAACTGACAAAGTTTGATGATT